AAGCTGAGATGTTTTGTTTCAGTTGGGTTCTCAAAAGCAAACCTTCTTCAGAATTAGAAAACAACTTAAACTCGAACCATGTTTAGAGCGTTGTTCGAACACAATTAATACCACAACAAAATACTTTTATTACTTCCGCTATTACTTACAGCAAGCAAACCTTCCGTCTACGGGCCTGGTTGAATCAAGTACAGGCGCAAAGTTGAATTTTATTGATGTACGGAAAAGAGGAGCTCAACCGGCCTGGACTGGTTCGCCGAAGAAGACTAGGAAAAGTCGTTAGTTGAACAGGTTGTTCGCACTTGGTTTTTTGTTGTTCACATTTTTAGATGTACTTTCATATTACATTATACTTTGCATCATTGTTACGTGATTTGTTGATCCATGAATGAACATTGTACTTACAAACTGCACACTTTATTTAAAAGAATAACAAAAAACGATACAAGTATAACAGTACTCATAAACTCTAACAAACACGTAAGCACCGTTAACGATTCGGTACTCATACTCGTAAGAAGGAAATAAACGGAATTCCATAGCAACAACCACTATAACAAGTAAAAACTTAAAGGTTGAAGGTAAAGAGTATATATCTATAAATACAGGTAACTAATTTCTAATGTTTTTTGCTCTTTTTGGAGGCACCGGCTTTACGCTGCGACTTGAGAACTTTCACAAGATCCTGAAAAAAAGGTGTAGAGTACGATAGAAACACCTCTATGAAGTTGTATAACATACTTGTTTGACTCCTTTCTGTCGCAACGGAACATAAGCGTAGGGTTGCAGTTTCTGATTCTTCTTATCACTGCTGCCCTTAGCGGGTCGCTTCTTACCGCTTTTCACCGATGTGTCCCGATGTATTCCTTGACCTCCCGGTCGCCAAGTGGATGCACCACTTACTGTGGAGTGCTTGGCGCTCTGCAATGTAAACGTGATAAAAAGCCTACTCTCACATTTTCTGGAAATGTGAGCTCTGGATGGATCAAAGGCAGCGGTCGCGCTGGCTGACAGCGAGACAAATTGGACACTTCAACGGTGGAAGAGCATCGTCATTGGTAGCCGCCTCTCAATGCCTTTCCACCAATGACGATCCAAGACGTCAAGCGTGACCGCTGCCGTTAAGTCAATTGTCAAGATTAATTCCTCTGGATCTAATCGAGAACGAGAACGTTTTACATCGGTAGTTGCTTACCTTTTTCACATTTTTGTCATCATCTTCGGAGTCAGTTTCCATATCATCATCGTCTTTCTTCTTTTTATTCTCAACAGGGAAATCATCATCCATATCGTCCAAGTCACCAGCTCGCTTTCTACGCTTTCGCTTTCGTTTCATTCTCATCATCTGTAAAGCGTGTTTGGAAAAATTGATTTCAAAAAAAAAGTCATTATGTGTGGACCCTTTATGAGAGTTGACGAAAAAGTCCCTTGTGAAAAAAACTGAAATTAGACTTTCAACATTCGCACGCGAACTGCGGCTTTAAAAACAGCATGTTAAACAAACAAAACAGACAAATGTTGTACGTTTTCTTCGAGAAGCGATTACCTAGTAAACTTTATCGCGCATGGTGATTTAAATTATTTTTCAAAATCAACGCTTGAAAAAGTACTTCCTCCTCGATCCTAGTTGAAACTTCAATGAATGTCAAACAGATCAATGTGAAAATAACAAACAGAAGAAAATCCGTAATCTCTTTATAAGCAATTTTTGAACGACATATGAAAAACTTCTTGTGAGAACCAAATTTTGATTAAACTCACCACTATCGACAATCACTAGTTTTCCATCCTTAGATATTCTGAATCCAGATTCCTGCTTCTTCTTTTCCATCAATTTTGCCTTCCGCTTTGCTACCTGGGCTGGATCCGTAGTGGTGACTATACGAAGTTATTACGGTTTCCCAATCATGTATATGGATATCTTCAAAGCACCCACCTTTGAGAATCATGCTCTTTCTATCGAGCAGGTCGGTTAGTTCACCCATGTCGGTATCATCTTTCAGCCAAACACTACCAGTACGACTCTTCATCTCGGCAATTTCACCTTCACCGTCGCTTTCAGATGCGTCACTGTCCTCAAGCAACTTCAGTATTGTGTCGGCTCCAGCAGTGCGAGCAGTCATTCGTGAGCCCGCTTCGCTACTCTCTGTAACATTGAAAGTTACCAACGGGAGGTGCAGTGGAAGAAAATACCAGAAATGAGCGGCTCCCTTGGAACCTAACCGCTAAATTAACTAGCCAAACAAGCAGCAACAGAAAGGAACGCTAATTTAATGTAACCTCTCGGTAGGCTAAACTAACCATTATGACGTACACTGTCGCAGCTGCTTGCACACTTAATATTTCAGGCTTTCATGATGGAACAAAACATAAAGTCGGTCGGTAGACCCATTTTTTTGGTATGTGCCGTGCATTTTACATATGACGTTGCCACATGTGGCAAACCTCTAAGAACAAAACACCTACAGAATGGAGGCGGCTCAGTAGCCCTTCACTCAACGCCTAAAAATCTCGAAGTAACAAAAATGAATGATGAGAGCTTGCTTGCTCTTGGCAGAGGTAAGTCCTTTTCAGAATGCACCTAGCAATCCTACTTGCCTTCAAGCTCGTACATATACAAGTTTGGTTTTCATGTCTTCACGTGATGAGTCTAACACTATATAATGGGCTGACAGCTGAGGGATCTGGCCAGCCAGGGATTAAATCCAGAGATTGACCCTCAACCGTAAGCGTGCATCCAGACACCCACTATCCAACATCCGCCCTTTTCCTTTCGAAAAAATACTGGTGCGGAAATTCATTCATTTAGTTTTGGAAAATTCTAGTATGAAAACTATGTTTACCTTCATCGCTGTCCTTCGCATTGCCTCCACCACTTATTTGTCGTTCTTTTCTTCTATTTATCTTCTCGATATTTCTCAATTGCTTCACCCACTCAGGCTTGTTTGTATATTTCAGCAATACATCTACTCCGAATTTGGCAACGAGCACCTCCAGTAGTAGGCGATTTGCTTTGCGGACCTGAAGTAACCAGTTGGTTTGGAAGTAACTAATTATCACACTGCTGCGCACATACTTTGGAAGTAAGATCACATGTCAGCTGCCCTTCGAATACTGCGTTGATCAAAAGGTCTCGATACTGCTGCAAGGCATACTCGGGTAGCTTCTGCACCAATACACGAAGTAATCTATAAGCATTGGAATAGTTGATTGCCTAAACTAAAGAACTCTGAAAGTAGACAAACCTGATCACCAAAATACGGACGGGAGGTCGGCCATCTCCAATCCAGGCACAGCCATGTGCAACTAAACGGACACGTGCCCTCCATTCAACACCTGCAAATTCATTCATTTCAAATTCAAATCAAAAACGCTACACTAACCCTCAAATTATCACTTACTCGAAGCAGTTTCTGAGCTATTATATTCAGTGCCACTAAAGTTGACCTTGCTATATCCATTTCCACGGCCCCGTTATCAGAACCGGCACATGGAGTTGCTAATTCGTAGATACGTGCTAATATACCACCCAGTACTGTTGATATTTGTTGTCTGGAAGTAATTTTAAATGGTTAGCATAAAAAATTCATTCAAAAAACATAAAAAAAATAACTGAAGAATTACTCGTTCTCTGCTCCCATTTCGATAAGTTTCTTAAACATGTATTGCAAGCATTTGCTGGCATTGGAACGATATGGGTATATTTGCCTGAAAATGATGTAATAAACAAAAGGTCAATTGATGAGGCAGCGAAACATACCTTATCCAAGCACAAAACGACAGCATCGAGTGATTTTAAACTGAAATCGGAGAGCCTTGGAAGATCAGCCACCGACCAATCAAAAAGTATTTGATGATGACACTGAAACATCAAATTTCAACGCTTCAACTCACTCACACAACCACGAACCTAATTGTTTCACAAGGCACGAAAACAAAACCACAGTAACGTGGCGTGAAGGCGCATAACCAACTCACGAATAAACATTCGCAACACTTTCCGTTCCCCACATTTAGTTCTCAAGCATAGGCCTAAGAAATTATGTTGCAGCCACATCGAGATTAACTGCCTCATTTCAGGGTGAAAAACAGTTGAGCTGCTTGCCACGGCAAAACCAGGAACCTGCGCAATTGGCGTTTTCTGTAATCGAATGGATTGACATGCTGGTATTTTGTCAGATATCGATCGGATTTAGCATGACTATCACCAATACGTAATCTCCCCTCCCTATCCATGCTGATGTAAAAAGTGTAAAAGAAAACCGAAAAGGTGAACAAGGGTACTGATCATTTTATGGCCTTAACGTTACCTTCCACATTAATCGAACCATATATCTATACAAAATATTCCGACTATTGAATGGTTAAAAAATGATAACATACGAATCGCTCGAAGCTGAGGGCCACAGTTGCGATGGACGAAAGATTCTATTTCAATCCACCTTGAGGAAAGAAGTTCCAATCAGCGATCTCTAAGAAAAAAGTTGAATAAAACAGACCTATTCAATTCACACACACCTTTTGGCAGAATTTCCTCCAAGATACGATATGCTTTTTTCTGCATCCCATTCATATCAAACCATGGAATTATAGTATCCATGACTTTCTCCAATGTCACGCAATCAGCACTTCGCGAGATAGCGCATAATATATCCAAAATCCGAGCCTGAAGAAAGCAATGAAAAGTGTCATTGTACGACGTGTTATCTCATTTTCTTCAGCGACCGAAGTTCCACTGAAAACAAGGGCAGAATACTGTTTAACTATACATAATGCTCAGGCTCACCTGTTTGGGAGGATCATCAAAAGCGCCATTCGCTTTCGTGATGGCAGCATCGACAAAATTTGCCACTAATTCCTTGGGAGTCACTTCTGCATAAGTGCGAATTGTTTCCAACACAGACATTCTGAAGTCATCTTTTCATAGACGAACAATTCTCTATGTTCCTCGTCTTACATAATAACAAGCAGATATGGAAACCGGTGCGGTAATTTTTCACACAACTAAACAAGAAAATCCGAAAGCAACGGGACGAGTCTACCATATTTCTAGGGAAACTACTTTCAGAAACGGACGGAAGTATTCTTTTGTCAAAAACCCAAACTTTTTGTCAACTATGAGTTCTTTAGATAATCGGGCATGAAATTAGGATTTCAAATCACGTACCGTACACCCTTGTCGTCTTGATCATCTCCAGCATTAGCTGTGTACAGATTGAACAACAAAGGCATGAAGTTCTTTGCATATCTGCTGACAACCTATAAGAACAGAACTTTCAAACCCCATGTCAACGGACAGTTGCACCAACTAACCGAGAGACTAGCTCAGAGCTAAGTGTAAATAAACACGTAAGCATCCCATCACTCACTTCTACACGTTCTGGAGGTGCGTCTGGCATAAGAGCGAATCGTAGAACACGACGTAGAGCAGAAAGAATTTGCGGTCTGAGGTCACTTCTCTCATTAATCGCCGCACCAAGTACCTGAATTGAATTTTTAGTATAAATTCTATCAAGAAACAAATTCTGAGACGAAAACATACGGGAGCTAACTGAGGAAACGATTTCTCCAGATCCGATGGAGAATCACAGAACGAGGGCAGCAACTCCCATAGTTGAATTTGCAGCGTCATGTACAGGCGCTGGGGCACAGGATCCAATGATCCAAGGCGTCTATAACAGCGACTTTGGAGATGATGATTAGTATGTGTCACATAACACATTAAGAATTGATGATGATGCACGGTGTGAAAGCATCAGACCGGCGCAGAGGAGTCCTGCCTGTGCGACTCCAGTGTGTAGTCAGGAATTACCGCGTACTGCAGCAATTTACACATCCCTTCAGAGTTAGAAAAATTTAGTCGCTCTGCGGTGCTTGTCTACATAGCACTCAAGGCCTTCAACCATGCCGCCTCTCCAAAACACAGAAAAAGTATTTTTAGTTTACATACTGCATAATTCGTGTTATTAAGCAAAAAAAAACCAAAAAAAAACAAGTCAAAAGCTGTAGTACTCTACAGTTGCGATTATACAAACCATTGAAAGATGGACTTGGTTAAATGGCGCCCCAGTAGTGTAATCGGTAGCACATGCCCGAAAGCAAGAGGTGTGGCTCAGATTCACGACTGAGAGGAAACGTTTTGCCCAAATGAAGCATCCTTGAGATAAAGATAAATGTTAACAGTTTGATGATGGGGGAGCAAAACGGGAGCGTATGTGGCCTCCCAATTATTCATGGAAAGAATATAAGGTCGACTCGCTTCACAAAGAATGCTTGATAGTACAAAAAAGAGAAGAGGAAATGCTGTACCTGTAAATTTTGACAGCCAGAGGTAGGATGTGAGACGAGAAATACGCCAAAGGAGCATTATGTAGGTTTACACGTAAGACAGGGATCAACCATGACCTAGTGAACTCAGTATTGAGAATGGCAGCATCAGCGTCGATTCCCAAGCGGTATTACTGCCAGTACCGCAGGGGCACCAACATGTCTCACCGCACAGCCAACGGTCTGAACATATGAAAATAGTGGGAAAAAATTAGAGAAGTTAGTCGAAATCGAAGGCTGTTTCAATGCGTGACTCGATCAAAGAAAATAACACCAACTAACAACAACTACGAAAGTGAAATAAAACGAATCCACTCACAAAGTCGAGTTCTTGTTTACAGAAGCATTCGTCACTTTCTCTCAATAGCGCCAATGTCTTCATCGCCTTTTCAAATTCTTCCCCTACAATCCCAGCACCTGCACTTTCATAGAGGCGCATTTGCGATCTAAATGCATGATTGCCAGACAATTCAAGTAAATAGGTGAAAGCATGTGAATCTACCTTAAGACGTATTTCCAAACTGTTGTTGAGTGCACGTTCAGTGCGCGATCCAGCAGGGAAAGGAGGCTTTTGGCACATTCTTCGTTATCTTGTACACTCCTTTCTATAAGCCGGGCCAGAATCTACAAAATAGACAACGATAGAAATACAAACGCACTTATTGCTGCGTAGTCAGAGGTAAGTCATACCTGATAAGTTAGCTGAGCTAGTTGTTCATCGCCAGTGTCAAAAAATTTGACCATTATCTCTAGAGTCGCAGGCAGCAACGAGTAACACCTGAAAAGCAAAAATTAACCAGAAGTCATAAATCAAGATCAAATGCGGGAGTGAAAACGTTAGGATTTTTCTACAACTGAGATTAACCATCAATCCTTCTCAGAAAAGAAGAATCTTTTAGGTTTGTATTTTGAAAAATCAAAAACGCATAAAAATTCTAAGAAAACCTCTGTCACTAATGTGACTGCATACCGTACACTACAGGCATTGAGGGTCGGGTCATACTTTGCAGCCCGAGCATGAGTACGTACGTATCGCACGAACTATACACAACTGCAAACCGAATCGCAAAGTATGACCCGATCTTGAGCGACAAAG